CACGACACACGACACACGACACACAACACGCCATTAACGAATTACTGTTTCCAGGCGCCATCGGACGATTCGCCCAGCTTCCTGGTGGTGCCGTACACGGACTACTGGACGGTGCTCACCCAGGAGGAGGACGTCTACCTAAGCGGACCCTCGGCCATCGCCTTCTACCCGTCGACCTCCTCCTCTTCCGCCTCCAGTGCGTCATGCCTCTTTTCATTTTCTATTATTGCATTTTTATTGACGTGAGGCTGATTGGTGATAATGCTTACTGTGGGCAGGTACTACGATCGGCAGTGTGTTGATCACGTTCTCGTATTCGTCGTTCGCCGTGGGCTGCTACTCGCAGGTGGTCACCTACGACTGGCTCTCGCTCGTCGGTACTCACGCACACGCACACCGCACACGCGACACGACACGACACAGACAAAACACGATTGGATGGCCAAAGCAGCTGACATGTCGGTTGGGCGCACACGTAGGCGTGCTGGGCGGCGCGGCCGCGTTTTGCTGCGCGGTGCACGAGATCGTGATGTTCATGTTCTCCAAGTCGCTCACCTGTTGCTGTCCCGACCTGGCCAAGCGATTCAACGACGACGAGGAGGACGACGAAGAGGAGGAAGGGGAAGGCGAGGTGCTCCTCTCTCCCCCAACACGACACACACCACCGCACACACCGCACACGCACACCGCACACACCGCGCACACTCACAATCTCTCATGGTTGCGGGAGACATTTGAAGAAGCCCAAGGCGTCGTCGAGCAGGAGCGTAAAGACGACAAGGAAGGGCATGGGCGCGGCGAAGAAGGGCGACGGCGACGATAGCGACGACGACGACGATGAAGACGAGCAAGAGGCGGCGGCACGGTCGCTGCAGGAGGTGGGTCTCATGCACCACGGATTCCACCGCGGCGATCTGGTCGCGGCCATGTATGACGACTACGGCCGCAGCCTGTCGTCCGAGCGACTGCCACTGCTCTGATGGTTGCACTTGTACAATTATTAGTGTCATGTGGCCCTTATTTGCTTTTTGTTTGTGTTGTTGGCGCGTTCGTCACTGTTCGCCCTTAATGACACGCGAGTTCGAGGTGTTAAGGGTAGGGCTTTGCGGCCTCTTCTTGGGCGTCCAAAGGGCTGAGTGCCTGAACTTGATATGGGAACCCAGGCCAGCGGCGGAACGGCAGCGGAGTCCACACTGGCTGCATAGGTACCCGACAGGTCCAAAGGCCAGAGAAGTCGGGTCAAAGGCAGGGGTGTAGTCTGCATACGCAGAACTTCGTTCAGGACGAACAACTAAACACACAAACAACACGCAGGAGGGGAGAAAACCTGGTGGTACGCTGCATGGCGCTGGTGTGCTGTAGCGCTCACCGCTGAACCATTGATCGTAGTCCTGTGGTTGCAAAAAAATACGCAGTTGGCGCGACGTGCCGCTACAGGGTTGGAGTCGCGATGTTGCACGTACCTCAGCTAGTAATACGTCCCAATCTTCACACAGGTGGGCCGTGTCCATCACACTGTCTTGTGCGATGAAAGAAGCATCACAGGACTGGTGTAGTGCGCGGCTCCTTAGTACTCGAGTTTTTCCGAGTGGCTGTGTTACCTGAGTTGATGGTTGTTGGCACTGCTGTGGCTGCTGCTGCGTTTGGGCCGCCAATGCACTACAGTCCCGTTGGATCGTCCTGAACAAGTGATCCAAATAGTCCACACCCCCTTCCTTGACCACCACTTGTTTTCCTTCTTCGCGCGTTTGCTGCCGGTCCTGACAGACCCCGGGGGGGGGGTGATTAGTAACTCTCCCCATCCATCATGGGCCTCGAGCTGAGAGTCATCGATGCGAACCTTGGTCAGACTGGCCAGGTGGTGCGTGAGCTTGATGGTGTGCTTATACCACTGGGCGAGCCTCCTTCGCAGATGGAGACAGCACCGTCCCGTGTGTTCCCAGATCTCCTCCTTGTCGCAGGACCTGAAAGAACAACCGAGGTCTGCTGCCGGGCACGGTCTGAAAACACGCACACGCACACGCACACGCACACGCACACGCACACGCACACGCACACGCACACGCACACGCACACGCACACGCACACGCACACGCACACGCACACGTGAGGTCATTGTTGCGAAAGAGAGGGACTGCGAGCGGGTCCGTACGCGCCGTCATCGTCATTGCTGTCCTCGTCACTGTCGTCATCGTCGTCGGTGTCATTGTAGCCGTCGCCGTCGCCGTCGCCGTCACTCGAAGTTGAGGGAGAACTGAGAGGTTCGCCTTCGGTTGTGGCGTCGTCTCCGACGAAAGGAGAGCTGGCGGCTCCGCCATCACCGTTGTGTACCGTGAGCATCCTGTCTTCCCCAAGCCTGCTCTCGAGCCCATCCTCCCCTGACGACACGACCAACGACACGACACAGCGTGAGCATGAGCGCAAACGGAATTATTCCCGTGCGGGGGCGCCCAACGTACCGCAAGCCACTAAATTGCTGAACGCCACCTTGTACGACTCCTTGGAGACGGCGCCCGACGGAGCGGAGTTGTACATGTCTACGTTGACCCAAAAAGCGGTTTCGGTCGAAGCCGTGTCGTGGACTCCTTGGATGGCGTAGTAGCCAGGCCGTATGGTCCTGGTGTCTGCTTGAACAGGCTTGGTGGTGGAGGTCGCGATGGTCACCACGAATGGCGGGGCCTCTTCTGGTCGGTCGAACTGGAGGAACACTGAGACCTGCCCGGCCACAATGCCAAGCACTGCGTGGACAGTGTTGCGCGCCGGCGCTGGCGGCTGTAGGACGACGTTCTGGACGGCCGGCAGGATGTGCGTGACAGCCCGGGGGGAGTCGTCGTGTCGGGCTCGCTTGCGCTGGGGCTTGCGCTTGGGCTCCTTCGCTGGTTTCCCCTAAAAGCACGACGCGTTGGAACCGCGGGCACGATTGCAAGCCTATCTTGACGAGAAGGGTACCTGTCCATGCAGTTTGCTACACGCTTTGTAGTGGTTCGCGTAGGCTTGTGGCGTCTTTGGTTGGTCGCCGCACAGCGGACATTTCAGATCGCTACGACGGGCTGTCGTGTGGCCGGTGAGCGTGGCTGGTGTTAATAATATGTAGGTAACGTGTGAAAAAGTCCGGTGGGCCGTACTCAGTTCTTCTGCGAGGTCTTCGAGCGACACGGCAGCCAGCAATTCCCTCGCTAAAGAGAGGCGAATAAAGTATGGCCAGCAAAAGTGTTCAACACGGCTTCTAAAGTCATACCACAGCAGCAAGTAGAAGATGGGATGTACCGTTTTCTGAAGCGTAATAGAGCTTTTCGAGGACTGGTTCGTCAAGAACCGTGGGGGGGGGGTTCCTCCTCCATGGCGGACACGCTGTAGAAATGGGTAGGCTCTGCCTTGCTTTTTGGTTTTAGTTTTTGTTTCACAACCCTCGCCGTCCAATGGCAGAGAACGTTGAGGGTCCTTCGCTTTTACTTGCAAGAAATCTTGTTTTTGTTTTCCCTCCTTTACATCTCGCCAGCATTCCCGGGTCAGCTGAATGGAGCTACATCCAAGGAAGGATCCCTTCTCTGTTTTGCCTGTCGAGGCATGCTGCCAGGTGTTGAGCTTCCTTCCTCCCCAGACCATCGCCCTTTGCTGCCTGGTATCTTCCCAGGCACGCCCCCCCCCTTCTTTTTTCTGAGTAACAACCAACCCTCAGCTTATCATCTGCACTCTTTTAGATGCAAACACATCTGTTGTTTTATGTGGATTAATTTTATTTTTATATTAATTTTATTCACCTTTTGGCCGCCACCTTGCTCTCTCACCACGGCAGTGGAAGGAGATATGCGACGACGAATCTTTTTGGTACTTTTATGCCACATCTTCGCTTGCTTGCCTGCTTTCGCTTTCTGCTTCATCTTCTTCTCTTTGGTGGCTCACAGAAATGCTGCCTCGGCGTGTGGTCGCTGCAGGCGGACGATGTACGTGAAGAGCGTCAGGCAAGAGGGCCTGGGGGAGTGCGCGAGCAAAACCAAGACCGCGCCCGGCATCACGTGGAAGCAAATGTGCCTCAACTTGAGTATGCGCTCGCTCACGCACGCACGCAGTGCCCTCCGGACGGCACCGACTCACGCCACACACCCGCACACGCACGCCATCACACACACACACACACCGCACACGACACGACACGACACGACACGACACGACACGACAGCGCTCAACTTTGGAGAGTCGAAGATACTGGACAAGGAGCTGCGGCAGACGCTCATCCAGTGGGTCGGTGCCCGCGAGGCGCGTTGGGTCCTCCACTACAGGTACTCCACCTCCGAACTAACCACTCACCACGCGCGCGTGGTACGCACCAAAGAGAGCTCGCGTGCGTGCGGCTAACGAAGTACCTTGGGTGCAGGGGGTCGCGTGACGGCTTCTCGCTGGACGCCTTCCATCGATTCAACGATTGCGTGGGTCCCACCGTCTGCGTTGCGCACTCGCCGAAAGAGTACGTCTCGAGCAACGACACGCACACGCACACGCACCATCGCACACGACCAACGACACGACCACACGCTTAATTTCTTGTGTGTGTGTGTGTGTGTCCAGCTGTATATTCGGGGGCTACAACGCCGTGTCGTGGATCACGCTCCGCCAGGACAGCGACGAGAGCGCCAACCTGGCCCTCAGGTCGCACGCCATCGGGGTCAGCGACGACGACGACGCCGAGAGCGAAGACGAACAAATCGAGGAAAGCCTCGAGGAGGAAAACCTGGAGGAGGAAAAGGAACCAGCAACCGACGACGAACTGGCCGACGCCACGCACGACGTCGCGGTCGACACCACCACCGACCACGCCCACCTCGAGTCCGCCGCCGCCGACGACGACGACGAGGCGGCAGCGGCGACGAGCAGGAAGAAGCGGCGCACTAAGAAGAGGGCCAACACGGGTGATGGTGATGTTGATGTGGACCACGACAAATCGGAGGAGAAGCAGGCGCAGCGCAAGGCCGCGCTGGAGGCCAAGCGGGCCAAGCGGGCGCGGAAGGCTCGCGACGCGCGGTTGGCCGCGGAGAAGGGCCTGCCGACCGAGCCGTTCATCTTCTCGCTGAAGAACCTGTGGGACAAACCGCCGACCCAGATCTTCACCCGACAGCGGGGCGACAAGAACGGCGTCCTCGTACACGGTACCGAGCGCGCGTTGCGTGTGCGATTGTGGTTGTGCGGTTGTGCGGTTGTGCGTGTGCGTGTGCGATTGTCGGCGCTCACAATCGATGACGGGGTCTGTTGGCTGTGGCAGAGTACTACGGTCCGCTGTGGGGGTCGGGATTCGATCTGGGCATCCTCGGACACCCGCACGAGACTCCGCCTTCGGCTTGGTGCGTACCACCCCTTGTTTTATCGTTAGTATATTATTATTATTATTCTTCTTATTTCTTTTTCGCACAACGCGCCTGGCCGACTGACTTCTCCCCTTTTGGTTTTATCTTCGTTCTTCGTCAACGTCTTCGTTCTTCATGTTCGGCCTTCTCGAGCGCAGGTGCAGGATCGGCACCACCTACGCGTCACCGTACCTCGCGACTGAGACTGGCGGCTCGGCCCACTACTTCATCGGTGGCGACCCGCGGTACGTTCTGATCTCGTGTCGTCAAGTCCTCAGCCTTAGACACTAACATCTTATCATTGCGCACACGACACGACACGACACGACACACATCAGGGACTTTGAGATCTGCGAGCTGGAGGTGTTCGTGTTGAAAGAGGAGAAGGAAGAATGGGCCAACCGGCTTCGGTCGCAGGAGAACGCCGGCCGCACGGCCAACGCGGACTCTCTCCGACCCCGCGCGTGAGCAGCCAAGAGCCGGCCAACCTAGGGGGTGTGTGGATAATTGGACAACCAAAGAAGGCCTTTCCTTTTGGTCTGGTCTTGATGTTGTTGATAATGTTGTTGATGTGATGTGCTGGGCGTGATGTTGTTGGAGTCGTATGGGCGATAGGGCGGGATGGCCAGGCGCATAAAAATGAGGGGAATGTTCGTGCGAGAAGACTCCGTGAGGCACAACGGCAAAAGGCCTCCTTTTTCGTTCTCCTCTTCACGATCTCAACCTTTGGTGTCGCCGATTCCATCTCCTGCCTCATTAGGGTTGAATCGTCGCATAATTTGCTGTAACTTGTACGCATTGGATTCTCCCCTCTCACAATCTTTGGCCAATTAATTGGTTAGGGCAGTAAATGTGAGGCAGACAATGATGAATCTTAGGCCTTCCTATGATTAATTCGACCAATTACCTCCTCATCCCATTAGGCCAGTGAAAGGGAGCATCAATCATGAAGTACTCTGAGATCGAATCCCAGGCCCCTCAGAAGAAGAGCTGCCTCGATGTCGCCTACAGGTGGATCATTCTGCTCTTCATCATGTGGCTCACATTCGGTATACTCCTCTTAGGCCTGCGGCGCATGTCGGTTGGAACGGCCGATTAGCAATTGAAGGACCCAAGAATTCCATTTCCATTTTGACCCGCCTCAACCTCCCTACAGGCAGCTACTGGGTGTTCGATACGCCCGGTGCCCTGTTCAAGCAGCTGCAGGTGTGGTTCGGCGGCCCCGACAAGTACACCTCTGCCGGTATTGCCTCCCTCCTTCGAAGCTCGCCCATCTTTTCGAGGCTCTACTCGCACTTCTTGACCTTCTCTCACAACGCGTGCTGCTACTCGGTTCACTTCGTCTTCTTCGTCCATGACAGACAACTTGAACCTGTACTCCGTCTACTCGTACCCCAACACCATCCTGTGCTTCTTCGGCGGCTTCATCATCGATCGCCTCACCGGCCTCAGGATGGGCGTACGTGCTACTTTCACCTCCTCCTTCAACAAGTAGCAGCCGTGTAGCGAGTTGCTCACCCCCTTCCTCTTCTTCTTCATGTTCTTGTTGTTGTTGATGTTGGCAGGCGCTGCTGTTCTGCTCGTTCATCCTGCTGGGCGAGTTGATGTTCGCCGTGGGCATCCAGGTGCAGCAGTACTACGTGTGCCTGGTCGGCCGCTTCATCTTCGGTCTCGGCGGCGAGTCGCTCACCGTCGCGCAGAACAACTTCACCGCCCGCTGGTTCGACGGCCCGCAGCTCGCCCTGGCCTTCGGCCTCGTGCTCTCCTTCGCCCGTATCGGTACGCGCTTTTCATCTGCGCTCCACCGCTCGGCCTCGTCGGCGCCTAGCCTCACGCCTTCTATGTTGTGTGTGTGTGTGTGTGTGTTGCGTTGTGTGTTGTTATGAACGGCTACAGGCTCGTCGGTGAACTTTGCCGTCACGCCCTTCCTGGCCAAGGTCAGCGTGCCCTTCGCCGTGTGGTTCGGCGCTGGCACTTGTCTCATCTCCTTCTCCGGTACCGTCGGCTCCTCTCCGGCCCTCGATGACTCTCGTCTCCTGACCCTTGCCGTCGTGTGTGTCGTGTCGTGTCTTGTGTGTCGTGCGATGCAGCCTGTATCCTGCTGGCTGTGTTCGATAAGGCGGGCGAGCGCCGCGCCGTGAACAAGGACGAGCCCAAGGAGAAGGAGACCTTCGCCCAGATCCTGCTCTCGCTCCTCCAGGTCTTCAAGTTCCCCATCGCCACCTGGTTCATCTACTTCATCTGCGTCTTCTTCTACGTCGGTGCGTCCACCACACACAACACACACACAACACACCCACACACCACAAGCAACAACCATTGTCAGTAGCAGTGTACTCACTGTCCACCATCGTCGTCATCATCATCGTCGCGCAGGCGTGCTCACGTTCTACACGGTGGCGTCGGACATCATGCAAAAGACGGGCTCCAAGTACTCGGAGGACATCGCCACCCTCTTCATTTCGATCCCCAACTTCGTCTCCGTCATTGCCTCGCCCAGTACCTGCCCCACTCCTTCCTTCGCACCTCGTGTGGTGACCCACTTTTCTCACGATTTTCTTTCTTCTTCTTCTTCTTCTTTTCACTCCTAAAAGCTTTCGGCTACATGATCGACAAGATGGGCAAGGCTCTCTACTGGATGCTTTGGTCTTGCTTCATGGTGCGCGCCCGCACTTTGCTTTATTATTATTATTATTATTATAACGAGCTTGTAGACTGATCCTGCTCTACTCTTGTTGTTGTTGTTGTTGTTGTCTTCTTCTTCTTCTTCTTCACCAGTTGGTTGTGGCTCACATGGGCTTCCTGGGTAACGCCAACGAGTGGTTCGAGATTCACCCCATCGTTATCATGGTCTGGCTCGGTACGCGCAGCAGCCAATACCTTTTTTTTTTTTTTTTACTTACCGTGTCCTTCCCAGCATTGTGTTATGTTGATTGGTCGCCTAAACCGCTCACACCGCACGCGCGCAGGTATCGGCTACTCCATGTTCGCGGCCTCCATCTGGCCTCTGCTGCCCTTCATCATTGCGCCCAAGCACCTCGGTACCGCCTACGGTGCCATGACTGGTGCGTGCCAACCTTCACCTCTTGCTACGTCCCCTTTTTTTGTTTTTCGTTTCGTTTCGTTTTCCTAAAGGTCTCACTCACTCGTGTCTTCCCTCCTGCAGCGATCCAGAACGCTGGTCTGGCCGTCCTTCCTCAGATCATCGGTGCTCTCCAGGGTACGCAGCTCCCTCCTCCCATCATGATCGTTGACGACCGCGAACGGGAATGATGATTGATTGGCGATCTTTTTCCGTTCTCTCTCTCTCTCTCTCCTCTAGGTGCCGACGGCATCAAGGGCACCACCTGGCAGTACACCATCCCCATCATGATCTTCGTCGCTTGCGCTGGCGTCGCCGCCGGCTTGACCGGTACGCCTCCACCCCTTCTTCTCAACCACGTGGCCCAGGTGGAGATATTGGAGATATGGGGCTGAACCGAGTTGCGTGTGACGCGGCAGTGTTGTTGATCGTGCTGGACAACACGACCACCAACGGAAACCTGAACGCGTCGGGCGAGCTGCGGCAGGAGCTCAAGCGCGTCATGCAGGAGGAGAGCGCTGCTGCGGGCGGCATGTCCATCAACGACACCGAGGAAAAGTCGCTCCTGAACTAAAAGTTGATCGACCTCGATCGCGCGGCAAAGAAAACAAGAGAAAACAAGAAACCTTATTTCTATCATCCCTCACCACCATCGTCATCGTCATCAACTTGGGCGGCAGAGCTTGCGAGAGGTCTCTCTACAAGCCGAAGCTTCGGCTCTTCTGTGGTGGTCGGCTGCCGATGTACGGGGCAGTGGCGTCAGCGGAGGTAGAGCGCTTCTTGCCTCCCTTGCGGCCGACACTGTCCTTTTTGTCGTTGTTGTCGTTGTTGGCCTGCTTCTTGTTGTTGGCGTGCCCCGGCTGCTTGCTGCTGTTTGTGGTCGCCTGTTCGTGCTCAGTCGCCCGGTGCAGTGTCCGCTGCTGCTGCTGCGTTGCGGCTGGTCGCTTGCTGCTAGGCGGCGACCACCGGTGGTCGGGCCGACGCTTGGCCGTGTCTTCGCACGAGCGGCGACGATCACCACCAGCCTCGCCTCCGCCGTTTTCGCTTTCGCTCTCCGTGTCGTGGTCCCCGCGCACCTGCCGTCGACGGCGCTTGCGTGTCGAGACGTCATCGCGCGCTCGCTCCCCTAGGCTCGGGTGGTCACTGTCCTCCGCCGGTGGCGGTGGGCGCTCGCACTTCTCCTTGCCGTCGCCCGTGCCGCGCCTCTTACGGCCGCCTCGGTTCCGTCGCACCAGCGTCCACCGATGCTGCACGCTGCCGTCCCCGTCCGACAACGAGCCGGTGGGATATCGCTGCCACGCGCCCGCCTCGCCGCCGTTGCCATCATCGCTCTCGCTCCCCTCCTCGCTGTCCTCCGGCTTGCCGCGGGCGCGGGCCGAGGCGTTGTCGTAGTGGTCGTGGTCGTCGTCCTTCTTCCTGCGCGAGTCGCGTTGGCCGATCGCGCGCCGACGCAGCGCGGCGTGGCACCAGGCCACGCATCGCCGCACGATGTGGATGAGGAGGTGCGTGGCGGCGGCGACCAGCGCGACCAGCACGAGCTGCTCCAGGCTGTCGTGCCCCATCTTGGCGCGAGTCTGCTGCGTGTCGTGTCGGCACTCGGCCGTCAGGCGCGCCTCCAGGCTCTTCGTGGCCTCGGCCAGCTCCTGGCGCCACGTGTCCATGATCTTGGCGTGCTCCTCGCGCTGTTGTAGACATCAACACCTCCCGACAGTGAGTCACTGTCGACGGGCTTGTGTGTGTGTCGTGTCGTGTCATGTCGTGCCGTGTCGTGCCGTGTCGTGTGTTGTGTGGCTTAGTCGTACCATCTGTGCGTTGGATTTGACGGCGTTGTGGAGCGTGCTCACGATAGAGTGTCGTTCGTTGTTAAACTTGTCCAGCTCGACGGCCACCTCGTCGTAGGCCTCGAGGTGCTTAGCCACGACGCCCTCCAGGTAGGCGTTGAGGAGGTGCTGATTGATCTCCAGCGTTTTCACTGAACACAGACACACCATCACACACGACACGACACACAACACACGCACGACACACACGACACAAACGTTAGTTCCGGACAGTTCATATCGGCACATACATGAGTGAAGTGACGTACTGCGGTTGGCCAGTGTGGTGAAGATGCTCTCCTGTGTGTTGAAGTCCTCATCGACGAGCTGCGGGAGCTCCTCGAGCATCAGCCGCGTCATGCTGACCCGCATCGCAGGCGACGGTTCGACCACCAACGCCGCCGCCTGCTCCGGGGGACTGCTCGGCCGCCACGGCCGCGGCAGAAGCGGCGCGCTCGTCCGCCGCCATTGGCGCGAGCGGCTCGGCCACTACCGGAGGCTCGCTCACCACTTGGCCAGTGGGGGAGTGCGCCGTGCTGTCGACACTATCAGACGCCGGAAGCACCGCGGCCGCTACTGTGGGCGCAGCAGCGACCGCCGTGTCGGAAAGCGTTGGCGGCTCGCCCGCGGGCTCATCGGCCTTAAGGTTCGGCTGTGTCACCGTCACGGCCGATGCTGGCGGCTCAGTCTCAGCGTTGGCCGAGGACGCGCCCTGGGATACGCCCGCGCCGGTGGTCGGAGCGGAAGCCGCCGTGGCGGTTTCTGTCATCGTCTTCGTCGTCGTCGTCGTCATCGTGGTGGTGGTGGTGTTGCCGGTGATGGCGACTGGCGACTGGACGGCAGGCGCCACGACGTCGGGGGCGGTGGTCGGAGCCGTGCTGTCTGCAGCCGCCGCTGCCGGACCGGTTGTTGCCGCGGGGAGCGGGGGCGCCGCGGTGAAGGTGGCGAGGTCGACCTCGCTGCTCGAGAGAGGCCGGGTCGGGTCCATGATCAGCGGCTCTCCGTTGCCGGCGGCGAGCTGTTGGGCGACCTGCTGCGCTGTCGAGACATTCGTCATCGGACGCTGCGGTAGGGTCAGGTCACCTACGGCGGCGCCTGCCGTGGTTTGCGGAGCAGCAGACACGACGGCGGAAGGCGCGGCAGCGGTGATGGTGACCGCGGCGGTCGCGCGCTGGTCAGTGGCGTCCGCAGTTGCGGGTGCCTGATGCGCGGATGACGAAGCCGGCAACGGAGTGTCCAGGGCCACTGACTTTTGGTCTGGCCGCAGATGCTGGTCTTGTGGCTGGGCGGGCTCGAGGGGCGACGTGGCCGCAGCAGTGGCTCCAGGGTGATCCTGCGCGGCGGGGGCGTCCTTCACGGCCGGCTGTCCAGTCGACAACGATGAGTCCCTGGCTGGGCTGACATCGCCAACCAGAGGTGCTGCGGCCACCGTCGTCGCGGTGGAAGCCGGCGCGCTGGCTGGTGGTGCGGTGGTGGTGGTGTTCGAGGTCGAGGTCGTCGTGCCGCTGGGTGGCTGGGCGTCGTGCATGACCGGTCCTGGCGTGGCCGGGGCGAGCGGGGCGGAACCCGCGGCGGCGGCGTGGTTGCCGGCTTGGGCCAGGTCGGCCACCTCCTTGGGCAGCGTCGTGTCCTTCTTCGGCACCGTCGCGTCGTCGTTGATGACCACCTGACGCGAGTGTTTGAATGGTGATGGTAAGCAAAAGCATGAGTGGCTGACGACGAGAAAGGTGCCGTGGCGTACCGGGTGCGTCGTCGGCGAGGCGGGGACAGACGCGTCCTTGTTGGGGTCCTTGGGCTTGTGCTTGCTCTTGATCTCGTTGATGCGCTGGCCGATCTCCTTGGAGTTGGAGATCATCTTCTCCTTGAGGTTGGCCACGTGCGAGGTGCCGTGAATGCGCACCACGCTCACTGGGCAGTAGTACTGCGAGCCGTAGTGCGTGAGGAACACCACCTTGACGTACCTGCGCCAAA